ATCTGAAAAGAGGATTTTGGACCACTGGGCAACAGTCCAGTTCTTTTTCTCCTTAGCCCAGGTAAGATGCCTCTGATGTTGTCTGTGGTTCAGGAGTGGCTTAGCAAGAGGAATACGACAACTGTAGCCAACTTCCTTGACACGTCTGTGTGTGGTGGCTCTTGATGCCTTGACCCCAGCCTCAGTCCATTCCTTGTGAAGTTCACTCAAATTCTTGAATCGATTTTGCTTGACAATCCTCATAAGGCTGCGTTTCTCTCGGTTGGTTGTGCATCTTTTTCTTCCACACTTTTTCCTTCCACTCAACTTTCTGTTAACATGCTTGGATACAGCACTCTGTGAACAGCCAGCTTCTTTGGCAATGAATATTTGTGGCTTACCCTCCTTGTGAAGGGTGTCAATGATTGTCTTCTGGACAACTGTCAGATCAGCAGTCTTCCCCATGATTGTGTAGCCTAGTGAACCAAACTGAGAGACCATTTTGAAGGCTCAGGAAACCTTTGCAGGTGTTTTGAGTTGATTAGTTGAATCTAATTCTAATTTCTACATTCTAATTTATTGAGATGCACCTGTATATATATATAATGTAGTATTTCTGCCAAAATATAGTTACTACAGTTACTATAGTAAAACCATTGCAAATTGTAAATAGACCGAGTGACAGACAGAGGCTGATGGTGCTGTTTAGACCCAAATTAGTCCTTTGTTTGCGAATGTGTATGTGTGTAAATGTGGGTGCATAATTTATGGATTCATAATTTGTTTACACAGACTCCAGTGGATTTTACAGCTAGTGTTTGTGATGAAGTGTTGATATGTAACTGATGAAGCTCTGATGAATGTGTCTATCAGAATAGACAAGGCTAAAGCGCTGTCCCTGATGCTGCACGCGGCTGATATCAGCCATCCCGCTAAGGGCTGGAAACTGCACTACCGCTGGACACAAGCCCTTATGGAGGAGTTCTTCAGACAGGTACGCACTTCATAATATTTATCTCTCAACACAAACAGAACTCCCAGAGACACAGACTTACTAGATACAAACATTAAATTTTTTGTACCACTGAGATAATATTATAGTTTGTAAAAAATATTTTACATTTTTAAATGTTTCATTTTCATTTTAGTTAAGGTTTTAGTAATTTTATTGTGTTTTTGTCATTTTTATTAGTCATTGTTTTAAATGTATCTATAAAATTTTTTATACATTTTTATTTATGTTTTAGTTTTAGTTAATTTGGTACATTAAACTAAATCAAAGTGAGAAATGTAGGGTTGGCAACTAGCTAAAATATAAGAAATTCTTAAACTTTATTTTATTTTATCTTTATTTTATTTTATTTCAAATAACAAAAATGTTTTTATTATTTTAGTTTTAGTTAACTATAATAACCCTATTTAAGAGTTTCTGCACATAATGACCAAAGAAAACTATTATGCATTGCATAATAGGTGTGATTGATACTGATAAATAATATTTTTTATCAAACATGTAGCCTACACACACAAACACACACACACACACACACACACACACACACACACACACACACACACACACACATATATATATATGCATGTATGTATAATTTTTGTTATTTATTATTGACTGGAAGTGTACATATGTTTAATAAAAAATATTTATCATAACAGAATACAATAAAATAAAGATTTTAATTTATAGAGTGAGGGAAACTGGGATCAAATAACCAAAAAAAATTATAATAATTTTTAATAACCATGCAAAGTTGCAACCGAACTTATCCAGGATCTATTTGTATTCTGAGTTTGATTTGGAAGTTGCACTCAGAATCCTGTTGGCTCAGAAATCACGGGTACATGATGTCTCTGTCTGCGTTGCGTCTCAAGCACAAAGAGGAAAGTTTTATTAGACTATTCACAGGGCTTTGAATCAGTGTGAGTGAGTAATTTTTTCTGATTCTTTTATTGTCTCTGCAGGGTGACAAGGAGGCAGAACTAGGGCTGCCGTTCTCTCCATTATGTGACCGGAAAGCTACCATGATTGCCCAGTCTCAGATAGGTACAGTAGAGCTCACACACACACACACACACACACACAAGCACTGATAGCCACTGAGGCCATGTTTGCAACAGCATAGATTATGCATGGAATAGACAGACATTCTGCTACAATTTCCAAAAGGAGCACAGCGCATGCATGTAGTTTGACTTTCCATTTTCAAGGCTGATAAATAAACATCTTATTTTGAGTCATTATTTAATCGGACTACCAAATGTTAGCTGTTAGTGTTAACACTAAAACACATGCTTAACACCTTCAAATACTGTTTTAACAAAACTTTAATATTTATTTAGAATAGGGCTGTCAAGCAATTCAAATTTTGGTAACACTTTACAATAAGGTTCATTAGTTAACATTAGTTAACTACTTTAGTTAACATGAACTAAGAATGAACAATACTTCTACAGCATTCATAGTTATACACTTAGTTAACGTTAATTTCAACATTTACTAATGCATTATTAAAATCAAAAGTTGTGCTTGTTAACATTAGCTAATGCACTGTGAATTAACATGAACTAACAATGAACGACTGTATTTTCATTAACTAACATGAACAAAGAATAATAAATACTGTAATAAATGTAGTTTGTTAATGTTAGTTAATACATTAACTAACATTAACAAATGGAACCTTATTGTAAATTGTTACGAAAATTTTTTGTTTAATTAATTACATGATGTGCCGATTAATTATTCAGATTAATCACAAATTAATCGCACAGAAATTTTGGTTGAGAAATGACCCTATACAAAAGATCATTTATCGGTAATTATTGTGTTCGATGAGAAAAGCATTGAATAGACATTTTAGAAAAACAATAATAAGGTTCATTAGTTAACATTAGTTAACTACTTTAGTTAACATGAACTAAGAATGAACAATACTTCTACTTCTTACAGGAGAGAATAGTATCAGAGTTACTATGCTGTTGTGAACACATCCATGCAGACGTGCCTTTAGTGCCGTCGTGCTCAGCTCTTTACTGCTATCAAGAGGCTGTTGAGGCAATTACATGCTCTTTTGTAATATTTAATGGATCTCATAAAATAAATGTGCTTTGATTTAATGACACAATAACTACAGGCATCTTGATTGGATCAAAAGCCATTATTGCTAATGAGTTTCTAGCTAGTTAAATAAATGACAAGTATTTTTTTTCCTTCAAAGGGTTCATTGATTTTATCGTCGAGCCCACGTTCTCTGTTCTGGTCGACACCACAGAGAAGATAATTAGTCCTCTCATAGAGGAAGCTGTCAAATCTGGGGGTGTCCGCAGGTCAAGGTGAGGTCATGGTCATGCGTTCATCATGCTAAAGGTGTTTGATTGAGAGATGATAATGTGTGTGTAATCTGCTGTTGCTGTGCAGTTTGACGGGGCGGGGCTCAGCCGCGGTGGTGGAGTCGGTACAGAGACACAGCGGTCGGGGTTCGAATGACGAGCAGGGAGGCACTACAGATTACTCACTGGGCGGCATTGAGCTGAAACGAGTCCGACACCTGCTCTCTGAGATCATCCAGAACAACAAGGAGCGCTGGAAAGAGCTGTCCGTTAAAGGTCTGCACACATCTTTTGTGAATATAAAAATTAGAAATATAAAAATAAGAATATTAGTAAAGTTATCAAAAAACTATGGAAAACACAAATGGAAGAATGGGAATTGTTGTGACCAAAGCTTAAAAAAAAAAATAAATAAAAAATACATATATATATATACATATAAACATTAGATTAAAGCTTTTTAAGATTCATGTAAAAAATAACTTTGATCAATTGTCAAGTGTGCCTTGCCTTGCCTAAACAACTGGTGGTGTTTAAGTAGCAAAAGTATTACAAACATGTAGTACAAATGACAGATTATCAAAATAATATATTATTTATTTCACAGTGGGTTTTAAAACACAAAATAAATTTGACTTTGTACCCCACTTTGTTAAAAAATATATATCAATATTAATATATAAACATGAATATTTCAATACAAAAATGAAATATGGTATATATATATATATATATATATATATATATATATATAATTTAAAAAAATACAAGGTTCAAAATTGATCTTTTTTCTTTTTAAACACTTTATTAGCTTATGTGCCATATTTATTCATTTATTTTTTATTGAGTCACTGTAACCAGCCAAAATAGTCAATCATCCATAAATAAAAATAGTCAATAATTTTGTTTAGGAATTCTTGAACTTAACTTCTATTGAATTCTTCTATTGAAAACTTTTCCAGACACATGATCCCTTAGCCTGTTGAAATATCAGCTGTGTTTAGTGAGATGTAGTGCCTGGGAGAATATAATCCTATAGCTGATCTCACTTCCTGTCTCCTCCCAGAGTTAGCCAATAAACAGCATGAGAGAATGTCAGACCTGGAAGAGGAGCCCATGACAAACACACAAGTCACACTGTCCCACAGCAGTCCAGCCAGAGGGAGTCACGACTCCGAGTCAAAGTCCCTGAACGAACTGAACAATACGGACTAAGTGTGCCTTGCCTTGCCTAAACAACTGGTGGTGTTTAAGTAGCAAAAGTATTACAAACATGTAGTACAAATGACAGATTATCAAAATAATATATTATTTATTTCACAGTGGGTTTTAAAACACAAAATAAATTTGACTTTGTACCCCACTTTGTTAAAAAATATATATCAATATTAATATATAAACATGAATATTTCAATACAAAATAAAATATATGGAAAATCTTTACATATTAATATTTAAAATAAAAATATATTTTATTAAATATGAATAAAGATAATGAATCCAAATATTTTATTATTAAATATTAAAATACACATTGTTTTATGACAGGTACCTGACATAGCTAAAAATATAAATAGTTTAATATTTAAAAAAATAAAATATGAAGAAAATATATTTCTTAAAATATTTAGAAAATAAAATACAAATGTGTATT